AAGAATGTGTAATTTCTTTGCCTTTATTTGAGACCTGACAGTAGAGACAGACAGGAATCACGGGGAGAGAGGCATACAACAAAGGAAGCAATAAAGGTTCCAGTTTAGAGCCGGTTCCAAATTGTCTGATCAATCAGAATCTTATGCCTCTGAGCTTATTAATTCATTTTATCAATGCTGGCATGTTATTCTGACAGCTGCACGTTGCAAAACAATGACATCAAACTATCTATACTGCTGGACTCTTGCAAAGAGGAGGAGTCATGTGGGCAACATGGTTTCATTTCAGGAAGAACAGTCCCCAGATTTCTTTCCTCACAAGATTATAAATTAATGAATATATGAAAAATGAAGCTAAGCATTCAGCCCAGACACTGAAAATCTTTTACTTGTTAGGCTTTGTGTACTCTTCACAGCCGGCATTGCTACTCTTATGTTTTCTTTGTTGTCTTCCTGCACCTCTGCTGAGTTTTCAGAATGAGACTTCTCCTTGAGCGACATTTGGTTAGACACACAGTGAATCAACCAAAAGGAAGAGAAAACATTGAATTTCTCTGTACAGTTGCGTTTTCAGAAACTTAACAATCTCAGCCAGTCACTCACAAAAACAAGCCCTTTTTTCACAGCTGCAGGCTGCAGCGCTCTGTCTCAATACTGGACCAAAATCAAAACTTGTTGTCCCTCATTAGTCACTTTGACCCAAAAACATGAGAAAATAAGGTTGTAAAATAAAAAGTAACCCTTTAAGTTACTGCTAATGCAACTTTGACTTGACTTTTATCATGAAATAGTCACAGAAAGTACAATGTGTCTTTGAGCTTGATGGCTGGCTGCCTGCTATAATTTATCAAAAATGCATCTACAAAACAAGACAACGGTCATTTTCTGCTTTTTTTGACAGCGGTTCAGTTTGAATTATTGCAGGGAGTAATGGCACAAGAGGGAGCAGCCACACTATTGTTTGATGAGGAGCTGCAGGCGACACGCTGCACACCTCCAACTCAGAAGGTAACCAGTTCCTTTCACTGCAGACTCACGCCATGCGCAGCACAAACTCAGATAATGGTTGCTCACAGAATGATGGAAAAAGGCCAGTTATTGCTTTGCTTTATTAGAACGAGGAAAATTCTGAGACCTGTAGTATTAAACCGCACTGGAAAGAGGACCACAATGTGATGTGGGGTATATATTTTGACATGTCGAATAAATCAAATCAAGTCAAAAACTTGCTGGTGCTACCAACTACAAGTTGCTAAATCAAGCAGAACAGACATTGTAAGGATTACTACTTTAAGATGTCCTGGACAAGCCCCCTATTGGTCACAACCTGGCTCAAGACTGGACAAAGCAAGGCACAACGCACATGAGTTGTAACTAAAACTAAGTTTATTTTACATAACTAAAAGAGAAATTAATCAAAAGACAAACCAAGCACAGCAAAACCAAACAGGGAGGAAGCCAGGGGAGAGTGAGAGAGAGACTGTCTGATTGCCTCCAGTTTATATAGTCTTGCAATCAGAACAGGTAAACTGAATCTCCCGCTGAGTCACTGAGTTGATGTTGGTTCAAACATATTGACCATGAACTCATACAGCATCCATTATTTTTGTTATTATCATTATTATTGTCCTTTACTGCAGTACAGTGCATTGTGCAGGAATATGATGCCGCAGTCATGGATTCTCATGTACGAAGTCAGGGAGTTTCTGGCAGCCAGCAGAGCCTTTGAGGCATTGAGCATGATCGAGAGGTGATAAAGCATCTCCTGCTGTGTTTATCTACAAAACCAAAGCAACATCAAGCACACCAATCTGCCTTTTCCTCAACTTCACATCATTTTGAGAATTAAGAGGAATCTGAGGCATGCATACTTTTTTTGTCTGTTAGCTCCAAGGAAAATTGCAGATTAAAAGTAAGAGCAGATTCTTTTTTCTTGGACATCATAAGCCTTTAAATAGAAGTGTGCCTAATTCAAAGTCACACACCCGGGGACTAAGTTGAGAACATGGCCACTGTCCAGGAATAATTAAAAGCAGGAGAACAGACAGACTCCCATGTTGACGGGGTAGAAAGAAGTATTAAAATAACAGCAGGGGAGGGAGACAGAGAGACAGAGGCTGTGTTCACACTGCAGCTGTAAGTGCCTCTGTTGTGATTTCCACTCATTAATATGTAACACATCTGAGGTTCTTCAATAGCAAAAAGTAAGTGGCGGAAAAGCAGATGTCAACATCTTTGACTATCAGTTCATGTCAACATTCAGCTCTCAAAATATGTCAGTGAGACATTAATTAAATTCTACATCATTTAACCAGCGACAACTGTCAAATCCTTTGTCACACTGGCACTGAGCAGCAATAGGGAGGATGACGACAAGTAAAATAAGAAAATGGGAAAAGAAAGGGAAATGCTGTAGCTGACTATTTGGGGAGATGCTTCAGTTTAGTCGGAAGCAGAAGACAAAAATGTAACTGAAAAGTGTGAAAAACATACAAAGAAGTAAAGAAAAACACTTTCATAACACCGCTGTCAGTTCTTATGAAGGTTTTATCTGGTGACCTCATGCGATTTGTAATAACTTCAGATGTTCTTAATCTTGTGGAAAATCTGCCATGGCCATAATCTTTAGAATAAAAAAATTCCACTTCAAATTACATAATATTTAATCAAACACAGACATCTAATAAATGTACCCCTGTATGAATAAGTATGTGTTTCTCAATGTTTTATTTTTTGTATTTTTTCACATTTTCCCCATCTTTTACAGACTGAAGTACCAAATTATGGAAGTTCAAGGAAATTATTAATGAGTGTTTTAATAGAATTTTGAGTCCAACTTCGAGAGACACATTTCATTTCAGTCTCATCTGGAGATAATCCTCGGGATTTGCTCAGTAAATTTGGGTGAATCACAGGCTTCATTTATCCTGTGAGCAGAGGCGGAGCCAGGGGTGCTGCCCTTGGTGCTCACCCCTATCAGAGCCTGAACGTGATAGGTAGCTGGCTTGTTAGTATCATGGATAAATGACTGAACGGGACTAATGGGTAAAGGCCCAGGGCCTCTGGAAAAAACCTCTGTATGAAGTGACTGTTAACATTTCTTGTTGCAAAGTCAATAAAATGAACATGAAGAGATACAAAATGACCACAGAGAGATACAAAATGATGAGGTGCAAAACAACTACAAACTGACGCAAAATGACTACAAAGACATGCAGAATAACCACAAAGAGATGCAAAATGACTACAAAGACATGCAGAATAACCACAAAGAGATGCAAAATGACTACAAAGACACGCAGAACAACCACAAAGAGATGCAAAATGACTACAAAGACACGCAGAACAACCACAAAGAGATGCAAAATGACTACAAAGACATGCAGAATAACCACAAAGAGAAGCAAAATGACTGCAAAGCCACGCAAAACAACCACAAAGTGACGCAAAAGGATTACAAAGACACGCAGAATAACCACAAACCGATGCAAAATGACTACAAAGACGATGCAAAACCACTACAAAGTGACATGCAGAACGACCACAAAGAGACCCAAAATAGCTACAAAGCCACGCAGAACGACCACAAAGAGATGCAAAATGACTACAAAGACACGCAGAATAACCACAAAGAGATGCAAAATGACTACAAAGACATGCAGAACAACCACAAAGAGATGCAAAATGACTACAAAGACATGCAGAATAACCACAAAGAGATGCAAAATGACTACAAAGACATGCAGAATAACCACAAAGAGATGCAAAATGATTGCAAAGACGAGCAAAACCACTACAAAGTGACGCAAAAGGATTACAGAGACCCAAAATAGCCACAAACCGACGCAAAGTGACTACAAAGAGATGCAAAATGACTACAAAGACATGCAGAACAACCACAAAGAGATGCAAAATGACTACAAAGACACGCAGAACAACCACAAAGAGATGCAAAATGACTACAAAGACATGCAGAATAACCACAAAGAGATGCAAAATGACTACAAAGCCACGCAGAACAACCACAAAGAGATGCAAAATGACTACAAAGACACGCAGAATAATCACAAAGAGATGCAAAATGAGTGCAAAGACGAGCAAAACCACCACAAAGTGACACAAAAGGATTACAGAGACCCAAAATAGCCACAAACCGACGCAAAGGGACTACAAAGAGATGCAAAATGACTACAAAGACATGCAGAACAACCACAAAGAGATGCAAAATGACTACAAAGACACGCAGAACAACCACAAGGAGATGCAAAATGACTACAAAGCCACGCAGAACAACCACAAAGAGATGCAAAATGACTACAAAGACACGCAGAATAACCACAAAGAGATGCAAAATGACTACAAAGCCACACAGAACAACCACAAAGAGATGCAAAATGAATACAAAGACACGCAGAACAACCACAAAGAGATGCAAAATGACTACAAAGCCACGCAGAACAACCACAAAGAGAAGCAAAATGACTACAAAGACACGCAGAATAATCACAAAGAGATGCAAAATGAGTGCAAAGACGAGCAAAACCACCACAAAGTGACACAAAAACATTTCAGACCCAAAACAGCCACAAAACGACCACAAAGAGACACAAAATGAGTACAAAGGGACCCTAAACAGCCACAAAGAGACGCAAAGCAACCACAAAGAGAACTAAAACGACTACAATGAGACAAAATGTCCGGGGATTCTTGCTTTTATGTCGGAAGGGTGCCAACACTTTAAATTGTCTCGTAATCTGTCCATGGCTGTAGGCTACTTAGGAGAGCCCAATAGCAGCTATTTGTTAGAATATTAGAGTAGAACTTCTTGTCTTATTTAAGTGTTTGTGTGCAATGTGGTCCCTGGACAGTGTTTGGTCCAAAGGCGAGCAGGGCACTACATCCTGGAGTGGATAAGACCATCCAAAGAAGATAAGATATGCAAACATTAGGGGAAAATAAAGCACACACAACGAGGAGGGTGTGACTGCAGAGGCTCCTACCTGCTCTTTGACAGAAGCCAGGAGGTTGGTGGTGGTGGTGGTGCTGCTGCTGGCGTTTGACGGAAGTCCATGACCGCTCGGCCCCTCTCGTACCACCATGGGCCCTTCCCCCTCTGCATCCCCCTCGTCCATCTCCTCCACCTCCCCGCGATAGTCCAGAGCCGGCTGGCTGCTGAGGCGCCCTCTCTGACCCTGAAGACGGACTACAAGCCGGTCAGGATGTGGACAAGGAGGAAACAGAAAATCTCTACCACAACCCCCCCGAGTGTGTCAGAGTTTACAGGGACTATATCACCTACTATAATAATCCTGCAGGGATTCACTTTGACCTCAACCTTTGTGCTATTTTGTTTGTAAAACCTCTATAATATCTCTGCAGGGACTCATATGGTGACCTTAAGATGTCACTGTAATATCCCTACAATATCCCAGAGGGGGCTTACAGTCAGACTGTGGCTTTTTATGCATCTATAGTATCAGTTTCTATAGGGATTGATAATGATAATAAGATTACAGTGCTTACAATATACATATATTTAATCTCCAATGGTATAATGAGGCTAGTGGGGATTTAACCCTTCACTGACGCACATCAATGCATATTTCCCCATAAATGCAGCTGCAATACTTTTATCTTTAAGGTTTTTGAATGGCATTTGCAGGTGTGCATGCACGCTGCACGGGAGGCATTTAACAGCATGTCACGTTCACGGTTTTCTTCTTATTCCTCCATAACAGAGCTCGAGCTGCCCGTGATCAGCCTTCATCGCATCCTACACGCAGTCTGTCTGTCAAAACGTGCACATCAATCACTCAACCGCCATCTGGCAGCCAAGGACGAGGTCACGCAGACTCACCGGACCGGAGACCGGGGAGGGGGGAGCGCGGCTGCACTGGAACCGAACCTCCCCCCTCTCTCTCTCTCTCTCTCTCTCTCCCCCCGTGTCGGCTTCACGCAAACCGAACCCGCCCGCCTGGAAAAGCGGCTGCGGCTGTCAGTGTGTGCGACTCACCGGCCAGATGTTGCTGTTAGAAGCAGGCCACAGCTGGCTCGATCCGTCCTGTTACGCATCCATCCTCCTCCTGCAGGCGGCCGTGACAGCTACTACATTTCCCACGCGCCGCGACAAATAAACAAAACAAACAACAGTCCCGTGCGCGTCCACACACTTCTCGTGCAATATTGTGTTGTTGTTGTTTTTTTCCTTCTCTTATCCGGTGTTGGGGTTTCAATGCACTCAACTACCCCTGGCGTCCGCGCGGCACCCAGCCTCCCACCCACCTACCCGCCCTGCCACTATTACCGATCAGCGGCGTGACGTCACCATGCGGCTATGGATTATTTTCCGATACGGGCATCGATCAGCGGCTGTTTTTTGTTTTTTTGCGCCGTTGCGTGCGTCGCTGTTTGCGGCTGTGTGTGAGGATGCAGCTCCGTGCAAAGAGCTGCTGGCTGGAGAGGAAGGATGCTGCCTGTGTGCGTGTGCGTGTGCGTGTGTGTGTGTGTGTGTGTTTTCACCTGCCTCACTGTAGGCCTGACTGGTCGTTGTGACATCTTATAGTAAAAGTTTATGAAGTACTTCATTATAAATTATATTAGTCCATTTTATGGAAGCTCATTTCTGCCAAGATTGTGCGTTTGTTTTGTTTTTAGTTAAAAATTATTGTAAAAAACAAACAAACACACAAACATTACATATTTATTTAAACTTATTTAAACATTATCACATGATGTTAAAGGTCCAGGATGAGATTTATATATCTTTTTTTAATATAATTAATATTTTAGAGTGAATTTGCTATTTATTTGTTTTGATAATTATTTAATATTATATGCACGTTTACTTTAATGTGTAATAAACTATTTAAATTGTTATAACTGCTGAAGTGAGAATTGCTCTGTGGTTTGGGCACAGGCACAGAATTTTTTCGGGCTCAAATTGTGTCGGATCTTCCTTTTTTCAGCCCTATCAAAGCTCCAAAGCATGGCGGCCACGAAATGTGTCACTGGGCTACTGTAGAGACATGGCAGTTCAACATGGCAGACTCCAGCAGGCCCTCCTAAATGTTACACACTGTGGCTTTAAGTGAAAATCTTAATTGTTTCCTTCTTTTCTACTTCATTTCATTCTTCCTTTGTTCTTCTCTTAAAAAAGGTCCAGTGTGGAACATTTAGGAGGATCTACTGGCAGAAATGGATTATAAAATTCACAGGTATGTTTTCATTAGTGTATAAATCACCTGAAAATAGGAATTGTTGCATTTTCGTTACCTTAGAATGAGACGTTTTTATCTCCAGACGCTGCAGGTCACCTTCCATGGATGTTGGCATGTTTCACACTGGCTCTAGATACAGGCCTTCCAGTTTTTTTTGCGCACTTTGTGGCCACCGTAGTTTCTCCTTTGCACTTTGAAGCGGAGGGCGAAGCGAGGGAGGGAATTGCGATGTGCAGCTAGAGCGCTGGACGCCACACAATCCCACACACTGGACCTTTAATTGTCCTCCTTACTATTATTTTCAAGTTCCACAAACTAAATTCTTTATTATTTTGCCTTAATCAAACATTAGAAAACTTAAACTCATGTGCGAGTGATTTCAAACTAGAAAGTTCAATTTCCTTCCCGCAATGTTTTTTTTTTAAAAGAAGAAAAACAGCACACAAGTACATGCACATGCCCATTTATTTAAATGATAATTGAGAGTCTGTGCGCAGTCATCAAGATAAGTGGGGTCTTACATTGAGTTGTGTCAGGTGGTTTTCTCCTCACTACAAACACTTGAGGGATCTTCTGTCTAAAAGCTGCCTTCTTCAGTCTCCTCTGGTACATTGGCATTTGAGAAACTTAACTAATACCACTTGCAGATTTAAAAAAGCAAAAGGGAGAGAGGACATACAAGTAACAAGACTTCAGGGAGGACTTTGCAGAGTTAAGCCACTAAAAGTTCCCGCTGTTGGTTTGTAAACGGATATGCCACCAACTCACTGGAAGAAGAGGAAGAAACTTGATGAGAACACTGTTTTTAACGGTAAATACTGCACCTGAATATTCATCAGGTCATAAAAATAAACCTGTTCTTCAAAGCAAACAATATCAAAAGATGATACATTCGCCATTCTTCATACAGCAAAATAAAACTCCAGTGTCACTAAACACAATAAAGCGTCTAGTTCGGACAACACTTGACACTTTTTTAATACCACAGACGGATAAATTATGTATCACTGCTTAAATATAGTGTGTTGAAAATAGTGATAACCCCTAAAAACATGTTGAACACGACACATCTGTTGTAAGAGTTTTAAAGTAAATTCTTTTCAAATGAGGGTCTGGTATTGCGGCATCATTTTTGAGACGCAGCTGACGAACGTGTTGGATTTATAGGACAAACTCGGAGCTTTAATCTCGCTGTTATACTCAAATAAACCATCCTGATCCTTTTCATTTTAAGAGCATTTTCTTCACCTGACAAATAGTCCCTGTAGGATTAGGAGTTTACTGTCACCCTCAGGTTCACAGTAACGGCTAAAAAAATTATAAGTGTTAAATGACTCAAGGCTGAACTGTCCATCAAATGTCACAGACATTTGCTTTGAAGCTATCCTGACAGTCAAGCTAATTACGCAACCACACAAGCAAAGCAGAGGAGATGGAAGCATTTCCACTCTCTGCTGTGGTTTGGGGGGTTTTTAAGGCCAACTTTGTGAGCCATTGTCCAAACTAATCTAGAATAAAAGTTGAACTGCACAGAGCAAAGAAATGGAGAGATTTGGTTTCTAAAGGGTCGTGGTTCTCGGTCCACAATCCCTTCAGGAAGTTGACAACAAATTCAACAAATCCCTGTGAATTCTGCTTCACCTTGCAATTATGTCCAATCCAAATTTGACCAATCAAAAACTGTACAAAAAGTTAAAACTATTTGTGCAATTTTCACGTTCTATGGCAAATTTATTTTTTTTAAATGAATTTGTCATTTTAGACAAAAAATAAAATTCTGTAACTAACATAACTTAAGACTTCTGTGAATTCAATTTAAGACTTTTTAATCCCTTCAAAGGCCTTTTTTTTGTTTTTAGGAAACTGACTTTTGAGACCTGCACACATGTGTAAAGTGAGAATGTTTGAGTGAAGACCTTAATTTTAAAACACTTACATTAGAAATGTAAGTATTTAGAGTCTCATATTTAGGCATTTTGATTACTTTTAATTGAGAATTTACTGTAAAAACTGTGGATTTCTAATTACAAGCATTTTCTCTCCTGTTCTTTGTTAACCACTCGACCACCAGCAAATGCTTTTTCACTGCTCCCAAGACTGAAGTTGCAAAAACGTTGCCGCAGTAACCATTTCTCTCATCTGAACAGAATAAACTCAAAATGGATAAACACGTCATGAGATGGAGGGTTTGGTGTAGCCAGGCAGTGCACTAACACTAAAGTTCTCCTACTGATGTCTACAAAGTCAAAACACTGCATGAGCAGGGAAAAACTGCTTGGTTGGCATGTTCAGAACTCACTTTTTAAAACTCGTCCGCCCTAATCTTCACAGGGAATTACACCGGACTTGACTTTCCAGCTTGTCAGTCTGCTGAAGGTGGCCGTTTCCCCTAAATTCCCCAGCTTTATCTGTTGTTGCACCAGTTTTTGGTTATTAGGTTGGGTGGGAACGCAGCACCAAAAGGGCTTAAACATGCAGAATAGACCCAATTTAGTTCTATCATTAGCCAGCTTCTGACATATTTGGACTGGCATCAAACACTTGGCATTGTGATTGATTTACTGATGAGCTTCCTAATGAATAAAGAGTAACTTGTAGCTCCTGCTGGCATTCAAAATCTAAAACAACTAGTAAAACTAGTTTTATTTTATTCGGATTATTGGACAAAAGGCATTCTTAAAAATTAAAAATGGTGCATGTTTCTTGATTTTAGGGACTCAAAAACAACAATATTGTAGGGGGAATAGTAGGGAAGAGCAACCTTTTGCAGAGCAGCAACCTAAAAAACGTTTGGCCCCTTTTTAACCGAACAAACCGTGGCGGCTGTGGCCATCAGTATGCACTTTGGCATGTGGTCACAGCTGCAGGGTTGCTGTCTAAACGAATGACTGTATCCACCCCCGCAGCCAAAAACACACAAACCTCTAACATCCCGTTCAGAGAGCAGGAGTCCTAGGTCAAAACAAATAATACGTCACGTCACTGGAACCACATTTCATTAGCACAAACACTTTTAAAGTTCACTAACTCGATCTTCATACAACCAGGTAGGGAAACTAACACCAGCCACCAGCCAAAAGCAGGTGAATTTAAGCTTTTTGCTCCACTTTGAGGCATCATTTTGGGTTCAAAATCAAACTGGCTGGTGAAATTAGTTTCACTCAACCAGCCTCTGCGGACCCAAAATGTTAGTTTCCTTCCCTGCGAACAACTCGTCTTTCAAATCGAGAAATACAGAAAAAAAAATAAAAATACGACGAGCACTGACAAATCTACTCAACAAAATCCGTGTCAATTATTTTACAAATTAAAGCAAATAAATAGAGGACAGTACCTTTGCATAAACATGAGTACAAAACCTAACAGTCAGTGGATGTACAATAAATGTGAGTGAATCCAAGAGGGGCGGAGTGACGTGTTCGTGGATTTGTGAAACCATGAACCAGTGTTAGGACGACCCCCCCTGCAACCCTTGAGACGAGAACCTGCGCGCACTACTCCAGCTCGTCCACGTCCTCCGTCTCAATGGTGCTCGTCTGTTCCGAAGTCACACCTGGAAAACAAAGCAAACATCAACATCTGAAGCAAACAAAATCCACCGAAACTCCAGTAAATCATCGCAGATTCAAACCTTTGCTGGGTCCAACTTTTCCAATGTGAGCCTAGCACATAGCATATCTACGTACCCTAAGGAAGGGTCAATGGTTCAACTTCATAAAACCTGAAAAGACGTGAAAATATCGTACTTGAGGCATCGTCGTCATTGGGAGACTTCTTCTTCTCCTCCACATAGCCATGACTCAGCAGCTTGGACATGCTCACCGGTGGAGCCTTCTTTTCATAACACCTGAAGAGGCGACAGGAGACAAAACCATCAGTATGACTCTCCTGATGGTAAATAAAAAGAACTTGAGGCTTACACATCTCGCATTTGTTAATTAATCATACTGAGGATCAATCAATCGTCAACGTTCAAGAGAAAATGCCAAACATTTGATGGAGAGTTTGCTGTTTTTTTATAGTAATTTTACAGTCAACATTAATAAATAATGAGCAGATTAATCGATACTGAAAATAATCGTTCATTGCAGCACTACTATTAAAACTATTACGTTTAAATGAATGGTATGGGAATAGAGAAAATGTGAGTAAATTAAGAGAAATATCATAAATATATCTAGATGGGATTTACTCACGTTCTCTTGTATTTGCCGGCCATGGACAGACCCTCCATCTCATTGGCAACGCCATCAGGAGACATCTGTAGGACGGAAAAGAGGTTATTTGTGTCGTTACAAGCTGAATGCAGCAGCTGCATTATTAAACAAATAAATGTGGATTGTTCTGACTTTTGCATACAGAATGACTGATTCACTTTATTGACAAATATACAGGCAAGTAACAGAGCAAAGGATGAAACGATGGAAGAAAACTTCATATAAATGAAAAGGAAAATGAGTGAAGAAACTGGTGTGAAGATAAACCGGCGTCTCAACTTTCTGCTACATATTTAACAGATTGTAACCTGACGGATATAATGTACATTCCCCTTTAAATACGACTTAATGTGAGGAATATATCCAACACATAACATCTTTAAAATCAGTAAAAATTGTTGCTTTCTATGCATATTTTTCCTCCTTTAAACTAGGTTTGCAATTACAGTAAGCAACTTTTATTTTTACTGCTTTTACCTCCACAAGATTACCAAGAAATACGTAGCATACACGTACATTTTTGGAAAACACCAGGTTTTTAGTTACTTTGATATAAAAGAAAAATAACAAGATTGTATGAAATGTACTTTACCTGAAACGTCAATGTTTCCTAAAAGCTATCACAATGTCAAAAGCACCGGCAGAAAATTAAAAGTTTAACCAAACTGCGAATGCGACGATGGAGCAAAATCAGGTGACGAAAAGAAAAGGTGATGGTAAAAATGTAAAAAATAAATTAAAAAGGATGAAAGACATCGACACGTATCAATGCTGGGGGTGACTAGTTTGGTCCATTCACCTTCTCTTTATCAGGGGAAAATCTATCAGTCTCTCTTTCCCAGGATGAACCATTATCAGTGCCAAACGGTGCAGCCAGAGTACGCATGCCCGCCTTCATCTGGCTGTCGGGAGACGTTGCTTTGCTTCCGCTGTAAGCACAAAACCACGGTGACATACGATGTGAGATCACTGCGAGCCACTTATCACATTCTGGGGAAATGCTGGGTGTGGCCCGTACGCTTGCAGCTGCTTTATCGGGCCCTTAGGAGGATAATGTGGATTATAAATGATCAGATTTTTCCCTTTAATGAGCTTCATATCTGTTTAACAATCAGGGTTCCTACACATTTTCCCTTTCAGAATTCCCGACTTTTCCAGGCTTCAGATGCTATGGAAATATGCATTTGAAAAGATATTGCCGCGTGGATTTGGTTCAGTTATAAAGACACTTGGAGCTTTGCAGGCTGTGACGTTCAGACGTAGAGGCAGCGTTCAGTTGCACGGCGTACTTCTTGCTTTACTTTTGACGATACTGCGATATAACACGATTACACCTTGAAGACTTGGATCCTTAATATTGTTGATAACTAATAATAATTAAGAAATACTACGACAGTACTCCTATTTGACCTTTTAATATTGTCAAGTAGATGTTTCAGGCGAGACACGCAAGCTGTGGAAGTGCGTCTTGTCCGAAAACAGAAATTCTGAATTATATATTTTAAAAAACAGAATAGAGGCGATTCAAATATTTTGTCATACTTATCCAGACCTGGAAATCACTAAAATCCAATTCCATACTTTTCCATACTGCGTAGGAACCCTGTAACCTCCTTCTACACTGATACAAGATTTTCCACCATCAGCATGATGGAAGACAGGCTTCAGGTTAAAGAATGTGCTGTGAGCGTGTGGTAGGAAACAGACATTAGAAGTTTATGGCTTTTTAATCACATCGTGAACCATGTTAGATTTCTTATTGGTGTCTCATCAGACTTCTTACCTCTTTGACTCATCACCACCAAACCAGCTAGTTGGTGGATTGTACATCTTCCTCGGTTTGTCTTCATCAGCATCAACATCATGACTCAACAGCCCTGCAAGGAGAGGAGGGGAGGGGGGAGGCACAATGTTCAAATCACTGCCAGGAAATTTTGAAGCATTGTACTGAATCTCACCTCTGAAAGCACCATTTGGTATCTGATTTGCAGTCTTATGCAGCTCAAGGGTTTAACAATTACTCTACTGCAAAATAAGTCTTACAATCTGTCTTTGAGGCAGCATATGTGAGAATTCACAGTAGGCTTCTTTTATTCTGCCCACTATTCTCCAGCATTGCAACCACAGGGGCGACATGAAGTGTGCATAACAAAAATAACTCAGCAGCAGAAAAATATTATTTCCACTTTGGTTAAATAGAAGTTATATTGATGGTACAATATGTATGATTCCAGTTGAGGCTGTAGGAACGCCGATATATACAGTACGACGATATAAAAACGTGTATTTTGCTTTATTGCTTATTTATTTGAATTCATATGAGAAAAAAATAAGCTCTGAAGGGGTTTGATGAGGCAGGGTTGCAATGCAAAGCGATGCAAAGAGTTACCCTTCGTACTTGTAAAATATCACCGTCTCCCTGTACCAGATACCACTTTTTTCTCTCTCTCTCTCTCTCTCTCTCTCTCTAAAATGATTAAATGGGTCGCTGGACATTAAAATACCTGGGTGAGCCGCATAAGTCAAGTCTTTAGTGGGACACAGGTTCTTAATAAAAGGAGAAAATCAAATATGAGCAAGTAATACGTTGAGTATTTGTCGAGTATCTAATTAGAAATGTAATAAGGTTTTTAAATTATCGGGATATAAAATGACAGTTGTTTGCAGTCATGTGAAAACAGACTAAAAACCTCTTTTGAGGCCTCAATGAATAATTGAGTCAGACGTGTCGCCAATTCAGAGAAAACTGGGTCTGGGGAGGTCACAGTGACTTTGACCACTAAAATCAGTTCATCTTGACATGGGGGCAGATCTAGAGAAATATTCATGAGGCAGCCGGAGGGTAACATGGTCACAGGGAGATCCGCTGCACCCAACATGGTCTGAAAGTGCACCGTCATCTTCCCATAGTCTGAATTTGACATCTTTATTTATTTTTTTACAATGCTTTTGTTTCATTACATTATATGCTGTCATACATGGTTGTTGGTGTTTTTTTAATATTCTTATACGCTCTTTGTGCAAAGCAAATTCCCCTTGGGGCAATTTAAAACAGCCTTTTTGCACTTTTCCTTTACTTTAACAAACAAACAAACAATGTGAGAAGAAAAACAACAATTTTAGCACAACAGCGAACATTTACAGACATTTCCAACCAAGCGAGCCTGCTTTCCATCCTGACTAGAATAAAACATTCATGTGGAACTCAACACTGAACTCTGAATTGCTTTTCCCCTGGTAACTGAAGTCAGCGATGTTGCGCTTTCAATAAACAAAAGGGGCTGTTGTGTTTTCCCATAATGCACAGGAACCCTGTCTTTCATGTTGTGGAACGGTTGGGCCATTTGTTCAAGATTTGCATTTCAAAAGAGTTGAGCCACAAGTGCCAACATCAAACGGATCAGCTGGGATGTTTTTTTTAAATATGATGACAGACTTCCACTGTTTTGGTTTACTGTACAGTTAAAGATAAACTCTCGGCTGCGAGGTCAGGAGGACGCAAGTCAGATTTCCTCATCTAAACGTGTGAAAGGAGACTTTTTTTTTGTTGCAGCAAAGCAAGAAATTACCCGATATCGAGTGCGTCGTAAGCGTTTAAAGTCTGTCGTGAAAGGCGCAAATGATAAAACATCATTTTAAGTTAAAAGAAAAACATTTACCTTTGTGTCCACCCCCCTTGGCAAGCTTCACGTAGTCTGAGTCCGTGGCAAATATCCCAACTCGCCGCCCGCTGACCCTCTCCGCCGGAGTGCTTTCATCAGCACTCTGGGACAGACCAGGGATCTGGGAGGTCGGCCCAGTAACACCAGTGTTCACAACCCCGGTCTTTATGCCTGCAATGATGTGAGAATTACATCCCCTTTGCTTTACTATGTGGCTCCTAACGCATGTATTTGAGGTATATATATATATAAAAAATACCTATATTAAGTGCTAGAAATGTTTATTTTCAGCTTGCATTACATGTTAATACTTACTAAAATTAATTATGTCCTTACCACCGGGCTTGGTCCTTCGATGGTTGGGTACAGCGGCGTTCATTTCAGCTGCAGACTCAATGCAATCTGATGACCAAAGGCAATACAGTTACAGTACGTGCACGGCAAAGTATGAATTTTACAGCCAGAATGAAGGTTTGAATTAGCAGTAGCTTCTTTTTAAATATAAACACCACTTGTTGCACATTAAATTCTTTTATTTTCTCACCCATCTTCCACCACAATGCACAGAGAAGGGCAGTAGCCTAAAAACCATTAAAAAGACATTTTGGAGAAATAATTGTTTAGTAGAGGGTGTGGGTCTTTCAAAAAAGACCAAAAACATTGATAAAAAAATCAGGTTATGTATTAAACAAGCAGTTTAAGCTGGTAAACTAACAGCAACGCCCTCTTAAATCCTCATTTCTCTAATGGGAGTCTGGCCTTTCGTCCACATTGAACCACAGCGGCCTGACTGCGCCCCTGCGTCGAAACACCAACAACTAATGATGCTTTAAAAACACCTAACACACTGTTTGTGCCTCTGAAAACATATATTAAAGTATAAAGCAGATACAGCTCATTAAAACAAGGATTAAAAAATAAAAAAAAAGACATTTAAAAAAGGAGAAAGGGAGCTCAGTTTGTAAATAATACACGCACGCTAACCAGCATTAAAAACGTAGTTTAAGCACACACACACACGTTGTTTCTGTTTGTATATGAACACACACGATGTTAAGAAACATTATAAAAACATATTTTAATTTCATTTAGCCAATGTAGCTAACAAAGCCTCGCTAACCTAGCTAGCCGCCTCAGCTAGCTGCCGCGGACTTTTTAATTTAAATTAAAACAACGCTTTTTATTTATTTTTATTTTATTTTTTTGTTTTTAACGTGAGCAGCTAAATATAACAGTCGTAGAAAGCCAGACACATATCTTACAATGTAGGTTATTGTTGTGTAGTTGCGGTGTTTGCGGCGGCTCCGTTAGCCGGCTCTTGTTCAGCAGACAGGGATGGACCGCACACACACTTCCGGTGGCACCTGCTGCCCACTTCCGGTACGCCAAACAAAGATCGTCTATAACGCGACAGACCCTGACGTCATTTTGTAGGCTTTCCACGTTAGCTGTTAGTGTCGTTAATGTAGGATGGTTCATGGTGTTATATTCTGCTTTCTGACACCATACATGTGTTTGTTTGTTTGTAAATTACTTGATTTGATCGGATAATTATTAATTACTTAATAACTTATATGCTATTATATATATATATATATTCTATTACATTTATCTATTATATTATCCTAACTATGGTTTTTCCCCATTTAATTTATTAGTAATAGTAGTAGTAGTAGTTGCATTGTTGTGCTTTGGCAACACGTTTGTAATGTCATGCCGACAAAGCCTGTTAAACTGAACCGAGTGGATCTTGATATGGGACGGAGTGAGAGGTCTTTCTCATCCCGATGCTGTTACAACATTAAGAGACGATCTTTGGTCTCATTCAGGACCCATATTGTGGAAAATGTGTTTGTTCAGTGTTGTGGGGACACCTATCAATATTTAGTAAATAATGTATTAATGCTTTATAGATCATATATAATATAATATAATATAATATAATATAATATATAATCATAAACCATAAATAAGAAGAATTCTGAGGTTGCCAGATGTGAAAAATAACTTATTTCTAACTGACCCATGAGCATTTATTAATCAATTACCAGCATTAATTTCTACATTATTATCAAAGCGAAAGGATACAGACCAGCTAATGTTTGACAAACTTTTACACTTGTACTAACATACTTGAGTAGTTGTCACTATATTATACAGTATGATGGTTTAAATGCACATTGTCCTTTGGGACATAACTGAACTGACTCAGCTTCAACATAATAATATTGTTACCGATGAGCTGTTGAGGTTTTTCTGTCTTTAAATGTCACTTTGTGTTGCTATCACAGCTCCTCTGGGTATTTTTTTCTCAGTGTTTTTATGACAAACCAAAAATAAATGATGTTGCATCAGTGATGGCCAATAAGCAATAATTAAATCTGAAAGATCTTTATTAGGCTCAACAGATGTAGATTTGATTAAACAGAATTTATGCAATTAGAATAAACAGTATTAGTAGTATCAGATTAACTCTGTTAAGAATAACTGCAGTCACAATGTCATCCATTAAAACAACATGCTCTTAATATGCTGTAAAATATATAAATATCGAAAGTCGTTATTTTGATGCCACACACACAGTTTCATTCCAAAATGAGAGATTTTTACAGAAACAACTACATTTTGGAATGACGGGTTCAATTCATTCATATGAAACACGGTATCGTCAGCAAATGCAGAAATCGTTGCAGTGGTAAGGACAGGTTAATGTGCGAGAAACCAATAAATGATAATGAATCAAAAGGTCAAGTTAGGAGAACACTGCCAGTGCAGCCAACTCTTTTCCGGTTCGGAGATCACTCAGATGTCTTTGCCGCAGTCGGGGCAGAGGACGTCATCTCTGCACGTCAGGAAACCTCGGCCGACCAGAGACACGCAGCACCTTTTGCAGTTGAAGCAGTCGTTGTGCCACTGGCGCTGCTCAAATGAGATGTACTTGCTGCCCCCGAGACCTGAGATAAAAAGAAACAAAGAGGGAGCCATGAACAAAATGAGCTTGTCCGCAACAGTCTCATGATCTCTGTAATTTAATAATCTTGTAATTGATGGTGATTGGATGCAGAGGGTAGCATATGATCTGGGAACAGTTCAGTCCATGCTGAGGTGTCATTTATACTACTTGTAGTTAAGATCTTCTCCAAATTCACACTGCAATGCTACATGGACTGAGTTTTATTCAGCATTTTAGGACAAATTAAGAAATTTGACACAGCTAATAAAGATTATTTTGCTAGCATTTGTTTCAGATGAACATCCTCTGACCAAAAGTATGCAGCATTAGACAGTGTAACACTTATTTTCTTGTTCTTATTGTCTAAAATTCAAACATTACAGGGTCAAATCTCGACTGAAGTTAACTGCTGTTTTTAAAGGGGCACTCCACCTATTTTACACATTAGGTTCACTTTACTAGTCATGGTTCAGTCTGTAAAAACAATGAAAAAATAACCCAGAAGATGACAGTTATCTCAGCTTGTAGATTGAAAATGTATAATAAAACAACACCTTTGTTGCAAACTTGGAATTTGCTTCGATTATTGATTATATGTCTAAGATTTGTCTCTTTACTGAAAATACTAAACTGCTGGAGCACTGATTTAAAAGGGATTATTTCTTGGATGACGATTTACGAGGGGACGATGATTAAGAGGTTTTTCGCTTTCAGTCAAACTTGTATCCACTTTGTATTATGGAGAATTAACATATTGTGAAAATCAGACTGAATTCTAATTGAATCACTGAATGAATTTGATAAGTGTGTGGTAAAGACTCTGGAGCCAGAGGAGACTGGACATGACATTTGGATGAGATAAGTCCAACAGTCTTAATTTAAATGTCAACAAACCTGACATCATTGGAGTAAAAAAGGCTGGTTACAAAATGACAGAACAAGAGAAATGTTGTGATTTCACTGGCAGCAAACAGATTTTAGTGACTTTCAATTAACATCCCAGAGGTAGAAGTCTAAAGACATTTGCCTGCCTGAAAGATTCCATTAAAAACAAATATAAAAGTACTGTAAGAAACTTTCAAAGGCAGTACTCTGGACACAAGTGCAGGATAAACTTTACCGCTGATCGGGGTGGTGCAGTAAGCACATTTCTTGGCAAACAGGTTGCAGAAGCAGTTGAGGCAGTAGGCGAAGTCGTCCCGAGAGGTGAACCGCTGGCCGGCCAACTGCTGCTTGCACCCGATGCAAACGAAGCACTCCTTGTGCCAGGGCTGATCATGGTAGTTCACTCCTCCAGTGGTGATGGGCTGAAAGATATGGTGTCATATGTAGTTTCTATTGTTCATTAAAGGTTATTTATATTTTTAAAAAAAGAGACATAAGATATTTACCGTAGTAGCAAATATGTTTATTGGCACATTTAGATTTAAAAGAGAAAGAGCTTTCAACTGCATGGCGTTGGCTTAGTCATGAAGATAGCACAGCTGGTGGTGTACGAAGAGGAGATCTGTCTCTGTTAGTGCCGGCAATCCACGATGAAAACCATGAGATGTGGCTGAAAGGCTTTTTGTACTACTGTTTTGAAGGTAAAACATTGACGTTGATGCCCTGACTGCATATATTCACATAATTTAACTGAAAAAAGCAAACAATAAAAATGCCAATTGTGTGTTTTTGATTGTTTGTACTGGTGTTGAACTGCTCAAGATGTGGCGCTCCTACATGTGTATGTATAGCTTCATGCTGCTTAATTTCTTAGTCACTTAGCTTAGTCACAGGCGAGCCAGATGACTGCTGCCTCACCTACCAGCTTTTAGCACAAAAGAGACGCCTCCAATCCCTGCCTGCTTGACCATCTGTTTCCTGCCCCGAGCTGTTATATAACATACATATGTGTCTTCTTCCCTCCTTCACTGTATGTTTTCTTCATAACTGCACCATTAGTTCAAATTTCAGTCCCAGTAAACACAGAAATCTTTCAAACTGATGTAAATGTGCATCCATAAGAGTCTTGGGTAAGCATCATAGTACTTCAGTGAATGTTGAGCACAATAGGTCTGCACCAATTAATAGAAATATTAGCGAAAGCTACAATATGGCCAAGTGCATAATGCAAATGCATTATAAAACCAACTGAATACCACTCACCTTCCAAGCATGTAGGAGAAACTACAGCGGCCACAAAAGATGCGAAACAATTAAAGACCCTATTTAGAGCCAGTGTTGGGTTTGTCCGTTTTGGGCTACTTTAGAAACATGGTGGTTCAACATGGCATAAAAGTCTCATTCTAAGAAAACACAACAATTCCTATATTCAGGTGACTATACACTAATGAAAACATACCTATGAAGATTATATTCAATTTCTAGATTCTTCTGAATGTTACACACTGGAAAACAAAATCTGTGTGAATCACAGGGAGTTGTTTTACCTTCTTACAGTGGACGCACTGCTGGGCAAACTGCTTCTCATAGCAGGGCAGGCAGTAGTTGTTGCCTTCCTTCTGCACGAAGCTCTTGGTGCCGATGGGCTGCTGGCAACGGTTACAGGTGAAACAATTCTCATGCCAACTGTTGCCCTTATGCTCCATCTTTTTAGAGCCTGGTGGGTGGAGGGGGCAGAGAGAGAGAGAGAGAGGGACAGAAAAAGAGTGTGAGAGTGGGAAGGAAAGAGAAGGAAGAAAGATATAGAAGTTCTCACGCTAACAAATGTAACACCCCATCCTCCTCCAGCTCAATAAAACTATCACGGCTGTAACAACCCAGTAATAACACAGCATTGTCATCACTTAATCTCTCAACACGTCTTCAATTTTGAAGTTTTCCAGAAGAGAGAAAAGACATGATGTGCCTCAGTCTACATCAATGATTGATGTACAGTAGGTCCCACTATCCCACTGGCATTCAGATCAGCCTAAACCATTTACAGTTAATGGCAATTTGATGATGTTTTGTGAGCTCTGTTAAAGATCAACATTAACTCAGACCTAAGAAAAGACTGTACAGCTACCCAGCTGCCTAATGGCACTTACAAGTATACAGTCGAACATTAAAGTTGAATATCTTTGCACCTCAGAGGTTTCTAAGCTGATTTAATTTTGGAAAATACTGAAAATAGGAACACTGAAATCAACAAAATGACACACCCTCATTCCAGACGCAGACGTAACATCCATACTTCATATCCACTGACCCAATCTTTGCTCAAATAACTCGTTTAATGTACTGAATAGTGTAACAATCCCAACACCGCTCCTCACCTGGCATGATGGTCTTCAGGCATGCATGGCACTTGGCAGAGTACTCGTTGCTGTAGCACTCAATGCACATCAGCATGTCCTCTTTGGTGGAAAAGGGCCGATCCACCAGAGATCGGCTGCACTTAATGCAGAGGAAGCATTCGCTGTGCCAGTGGCGGTCCT